CAGTCAGCTTGCTTCTGGGATCCCTGTCTCAGCCTCCCCAGCCAGGAATTGCAGGCTGGTTGCCATCACCACTCCGCATGTATGTGGGTAGAATGTGAGTGAATTCACCAAATCTCACCCATAGCTGAGGATATTCCTAAGCAAAGCCTCAAAGAAGTGGCCTCTTCCTTCTGATTGTTTATAATAAAATGTGAAAGGTAAGAATTGAAAACAATGTACATGAATTTGAAAATTTGGAGAATTCTTAGCTTATCCATGTAGCATAAAAAGGGAAGCTTTCTTTTCTGAAAAGTGTACTTAGATGAGAAGGCTTAACTAGGAGGTATGTGTAGCTGTTACTGTCAGGAATAGGTTTCCCAAACACAGCCTACATGGAATCCTGCAGATTTGACGCAGAAAGCAAAGGGGATGACTGTTGATAGTCTTGCTGTCCCAGAAACTGAAAAAAAAAAAAAAAAAACCTGCTTGCTTGGAAATCCCCAGATGAATCTGGCATCGGGAGGCAGCAAGAAAGCCTGCAAATTTGCCTTGGTAACAGGGACAGAAATTTCCCTTGGCGTTTCCCTACCCTGGTAGAGACAGAAGCTTCTGGACCTGATGTTAACTTTGAGTAATTTTTGATAGTTCTGTCTTTTCCCCCACTCCTACCTACACCAGCTGAAAGAGCCAAAAAACCAAACCAACTCCATGACAGACTCCATGACAGTTCCTGCCTGGAAGTTAACAAGCAGTTCTTGAAAAGACCACAACAATTGGAGCAACCAATTGGTAAGGGCCCCGAAGCCTTATGCAAGCTTGAGAGAGCTAAAGATAGCTTCTCCCACCCTTCTGCTGGAAAGTCCCTAACCACTAAGCCACCAACCAGTCCTATAGCAACCCATAAACTTTGTGTTTAAACCCACCAATCAGCCCCAAGATAAACTTCCCCTCCTGAAATTCTCCTAATCTTGCTAAAAAAAAAGAGCCTGTGGGCTTTTCTGGGGGTTGTCATTTGCTCATTTACTGAATGGTTGACCCCTTGCATACATAGAAAAAGAACACTTGTTGACTGCATATGTGACAGGTGGTCTTTTTGTGGCACTTCTCGTGACACCCCAATGCAGCATTTCCAATGTGTCCCTAGCTGGTACTATGTTTGCCTTATTTACATACTGACATTTAGCCATTCAGGGTGTCCCCAAGGACTTGAAGCTTCTGCCCTGGTCTGGGAGCTTGGCCTAGACAGACCCCTAGACCCCACTAACAGCTGCAGAAAAAGGGACTCCTTCCTGCCCCAGGCAACAAAAAATCCTCACTGAAGAAGGGAAGTCATGCTGCAGAAGTTAATTTGTCCCCACTGCTGCTTCTAGCCTCTAAGAGTCACCACTTCTGAGACCTAGAGCTCTAGTTTTCCTGTTAATGACCTACAGACTTGCTGTGCAAGGGACCACTTTAAGTCTGAGTGGTTCCATGCCCTCAGTGATTTTGAGCTGTAACACTTCTTAGAGCTATAGTGGCTCTTGGCTAGCAAACTGCTGCTACCACAAGTACAAACTTGTTACATTTAAGTCCCAAGTGGCAATCAATTTTAAGGTGTTTCATTCTGTTTAAAAGTTGTTGATCTTAAGCTGACAATAAAGCAATCCCCTATTTGTACTCCTTGATGTTTGCCAATCCATTCTTGGAGGAAGTGGATCAAACACCTGATGGAGACATCAAAAGACCCCCACAGACTGTTGTATTACGAGATTAATCAGCCACCTCATCAGAAGTAGAAACGGAGTCACACTAACAATCAGACTGCCAGTGTGAACTCAAAGAGACAGAGATGGTTCAATGGGAGCTATGTGAGACTTCTCATGTTTTGATAGTTTGCAGAGCCAGGGGATTTGGGAGCAACACTGCAGATTTGGAGGCAAGACTTCCACTCTAGAGGGTCCAGAATGTGGAGAATCAACAGACTGAATAGGTCAATTTTCAAGATTATGATTCAATGGACCTGGGGTGGGAAAATGGTCTTGTAGGTAAAGGTTCTTTCTGCCAAGCAAAACAACATAAATTCAGCCCCTGGGATCCACATGGAGGAAGAAAGAACGAACTCCTAAGAGTCTCCAGGAGTCTTTATATCTCTCTCTGTCTCTCTCATGGGCGTGCACACACACACACACATACACATACACACACACACACACACACACACACACACACACACACACACACACACACACACACACACAAACAGATAAATTAATACTTAAAAACAACTTAATGAATCTGAATTAGTGATCTTGGCATGCTGAATTTTTTCTTGGTTGGTGCCTATTATTCCCTTCTTTCATTTATGTTCTTTGAATGGGAGCCTCCTTCCTCTGCTTGTCCTTTACTGTATTTGGGGAGTGTATAGTTTGCATTTTGCATAGGTTTGTGGCTAGAGAGAAATTTTGTGTAGGAACAAATCACAATTTTAATTCTGAGACACATATGTTTAAGATAATATTTAGATGTCAGACTTTAGAATTAGTGCTAGACAGAGGTAAGACCTCTGGGGCTATGGAATTTTAATGAAAACATTTTCAAATTTAAGGGGACACAAATACAGGAGATGTCAAAAGAAAAAAGCTATGGATGAACTCTAGTTGGATATAATGTCTATAAGAGCATTATAAATAAGTAAAGTTAAACTCTTAAACTCAATGTCATGAGTGTGGGTCCTTATAAGAATCCATGTTAAGGGCTTTTTCTTTCTACTCTCCCCACATAGTGAGAGAGCAGAGCCTACAAGAGAAGAAACCCTTACCAGAAACCATATTAGCTACCTTCATCTTGGATGAAGTCTGTCTGTCTAGTATTTGTCACAGTGACTTCTTAGGCATTCCCATTTATATTGTCATCCATCTAGGATACTGTCCAACCTCATGATGTACATTCAATCGACTTTAATGCTCTTGGCACATTATCATCCACCTGACAATAGAAATGTTTTAGACACATTCTATTTATTTATTTATTTTCTGAAGTCCCTGGTTAGAATGCAAGCACTGGGAGGGCAGGGATGTTTTGTTCAGTTTCTGTTTTATTCTCTATCGTGTCTCCAATTCATAAGGAAAAAATGCTTTAATTTTTTGTTTCTGAACAGTCACCATTAAAGTTTAACTCAGCCGCAGAACTCAGCAAAGACAAAAGCACATAGCAAAGAACACTAGCAGAAAACAAAAAACATAGATATCAATTAAAATTAGAACAAAAGGAATATAAGCCTGGCAAAAGAATGTTATGCAATTTCAGTACTAGCAAAAATAAATAAATAAATAAACAAAGGAAGAAACAACAGAAAAAAAATACATGCCCCATTCAGTAGTGTATAAATCAAGAAATTTACAGACCCAGGCTGAAATTTTGTAAGAACAAATTGCTAGGAATCAGGAACACTTCCAAGAATTTTCAACACATACTATTCTGTGGTCAGAGCAAGAAAGCAATATGTACTATTTGCTTTGTAGGGGAGTAAATACTCTGAAATAATGGACACAAAACCACAAAAACTGTACTTATCATATTTCAATTTATTTCCATGTAAATTGGCTGTTACATGCTGAGTTAGTAAAAATAATTATAAAAAACAATAATTAAGTGCATGAAAAAATATAAAAATAAGTGCAGCCTATTAGAATACATGATTTTTAACTACAAGTCTTTGGATTGAGAAAGCACCACTTAACTCCCTATTTGAATCTATCTGGCAACAAACTCACTGTCAAAAAGTGTATTTGATACTGAATCAGATCAACCTACAGAACACACAATTGACATTTCAGAGGTGTATGTATGTTCAGCAACATACCAACATATTTCAAGAAGCATCAAATGTCAAGCATTACTCATATGGGATATTAACACATTAATGTTTTCATTAAAAAAGAAAGATCTCTTTCCTCATTACATTGCATGGCACATCTGTCAAATAAATTATTGCAAAGTAGTTTAAGCTAAACTTTATAACACTGAAATTACATAATTGAGGGCAAATAACCTTTAAAATGAAAGACAAATGGCAAAATTTAAGGGCATTTAATTTGCATAAATGTAAAGTTAAAAGTCTTTTCCTAGTTACATATTTCATATCTTCCATATTAGGTTCTCAACACCTGTATAGGCCAGTTTTGTTTTTTAATGCTATTTTCCTAGATGGCCTTATAAGAATAGGCCAACATGCTGATAGAAACATTGCAACACTGGAGCAGTCTTGTAGCTTCTATGTTCTCTGCTGCTTCTCTGAAATAGCACTTGGATGTCTAAAACTTATATGTAGTTCTTGGACTCTTACAAATTAATTCAAGAGGCTTTCTTTTGGTAAACACATATCGTGGTCTCGGAATAAACTATAGGACAATGGACTTAGAACAGTGTATGATTTGTCTTACGTGTCTTTGAATATGGCATTAACATTTGACAATGGAGTTAATGGTGTTAACTTTCTGTGCATTAAAATTACACTATAAATACTTAAATGCACTCTCAGACAATATTGTGTCAGCACTGACAAAACAGAACAAATCATCAATTGATTAGCTATAATGATTTTAATGTCAGCCATGGCCCATAGACTACCACAAATTTAAAATGCCTACAAGCCATGAGCTCAATTATAGGCCAAACTTTCATAGCAAACTATCAATTTATATGTACCATAATACTTTTCTTTCATGATTATATAGCAGGGACCAATGGATTGAGGGTAGAGAATATCACCACCATGCACATTTAGAATAATGCAAATGGATGATGCAGAATAAAACTCCTTTTAATAAGGAAGCTATTTGCAATTCTCCTTTGACCTCCTCATGGAATTATATATGACAAACAGTAGTCACCTTACTTGTGACTAACCAAATTAGCAATGAGGAGACTATGGCTTTGTGAACCAATACGGTTCTTTTTAGTTTGTTTCAGTAAAAATTAAAATGACTATGAAAATTGGGAACACTATTTTTGGCATTTTAATTTTATTATTTCATCTTACCAAAGTCAGAGGTGCTAAAAATGGATGGTCATATGAATGTTTACCACACAATTGCTGTGGAATATTTCAACATGTCAGTTGGACAGGAGTTACAATTTGCTCTTACAGATGCCCTTGAGAACCACCACTAGATGGCCAGGCTTTAATTTCTATTTTTAACTTGCTTTTCAAACCCCCTTTGCAGTACCTTGCTTTTCTTAAAGTATTAGTCTCTACAATAGTTTAAATGTCATTAAGAATAAAGAATAACCGTAATCTTTGGCTTCTGATATAAGTTAATTTGTTAGAAAATTGTGAGATTGCATACTTGTATATAATTTAAAAATAAAATATACAAGCATGAAAAATAATGTTTACACTTCTATCTGGCCCTTAGTGTTGTCAGTTATCCTGCTGTTTTGGTAAAGTTACAGATAATCACATCTAAGTTCACCTATAACAAAGAAAATGGAAATATACCAGGGAGATTTATCTGCCATCTGTCTGTCTGTGATCTATCTATCTTAGTATTACCTATTACATTTTATTGACTTGTCTCTCAAATAGAAAATTCACAATTTCTAAGGTTTATCTTGTACCAAAATAGCATAAAACTATTCTACTCATGACATTTTCATCTAAAAGATCCTATCTGAAAAATATTAGATGCTGAATTCTCATATTCTCCAATTGCAATAAAAATAAGGCTGAAAGCAGGACATCTTAAGGTGGCAATGTAGAGCTGAGAGCTATCTGATTGGATGTCCAAATGGTTTTCAGTATTCACAACTAAGCAAGCAGACAAATGGCAAGAACTCAGTTTTACTAAAACACCAGTTCTCTTCCACATTCAAAAGCATAGTTGAATACATGAATATTGTCAAAGAGATGGATATTGACATCAATCTCTTCTAGTTTGTCTTTTTTCCCAATTACTTTATTTCCATGGATTTCATTACTCACTGTACATATATGTTATCTTACAAATGTTTAAGTAACTTTGGGGTAAAACCTATAGGAAAATAGCAAATTCACTAACTTTTTTTATGTGTTAGTTAGATCATCTTAATTTTTTACAAATGGCTTATAAATAGTCCAAACCACTTATGATCAAAGTGTTCCTTAATTTGTTAGCTTACAACAAAATAGAAATAAAACCATATAAAATACTCTCATAAAAGGAAATAAGTGTCTTTACTACTTAGTAAACTAAAGCTACGTGCATACTGATCCCTATATAAAATAACTAAATGAATCTGTTTATTAAGAAAAATTAGAAAAATAAGAGGTCAGCAAGCCTTGGCCAGTGGCTATGTGGCTGCTAACCCATATCATTCTTATTGAAATAGAGGTCATATGCAGCATCCATACACCAAAATTTGTGCAAAATGCCAATATCTGGCCTCTTCAGGACATTTGCTGAAGATGAGATGTACACTTCATCACACGGGCCTCAGACTTCACTGTGATCACTGACTTTGCTCAAATTCTAAAAGAGAATAAGAAGAAATAACTACACATTACTCACAGTATCTCCTAATCAGTACTATAGTAAAAGAATGGCAGTAACAGAAGCCAGCCACAAGTCATGGTATGAAAATGAACATTCTCAGAGGTGTGAGAGTACAGCAATGTAGGAGGAAGCTCCAAATCCAAGGTCTAATGGCTGACTGTAACAAGTTAAATGGTGTAACTTGCTTTGGGCTTGGTTTTCCTAGCTCTAAAAACTGGCTAAATGAGAGTATATACCTTGTATGGAGTGGCAAATTTACTTAATTGATATGAATAAGGCCTTTAGAATATTCTATAACACAGTAGATATCCAATACATGTTAATAATGATGGCATTATTTGGAACCTACATATTGTTCTGACTGAAGATGACAGGCTCACAGTGGGAAGCACTAATGCTGTCCTAGGGAAGAGGAAGGCAAAATGATTCAAGTTACAGGAAAATTGCAGGAAACCACAGCTCTGGGAATCACTGTAAAACTAAACCAAAAGGCCCAATATTGTACAGTTATGTGTGTACTTCATGTGACCACCAGACTCTTTATATGATGACAACATATAATGAACACAGTGACAAGAGTATCTGGACATAAACATATATTTAAAATCTACATTTAGTATTTCTGCATCAAATTTAAGGCAGTGGATCTCAGAAAGTCGTCAAAGCAAAGAATCTGAACTTGATAGGTGATCATCAAACTCTCTAAGTCATGACAACATTAGAAGATACAAATTATTTAGCAGATGTTCATAACATGCCCACCAAGTGGAATAGAATCACCCCTTTACTTACAGTAAATGTTTCAAATGCAAAGGGAAGGGATATTACAGATTTTTATATCAGTAGAAGGGAAACTGCTGTAATACTTCCATAGCCCTTGATTCTGTATGCTAGTTTTTCTTACAATGCCTGATTGCTAACTAACCAACTCACCTTACTTGACTGGATGGTACTTATTGCAGCAGGTACTGAGTCAAAAAAAATTGGCTTCTCAGTGTCTAGGTCTCCACAGTATTACATTGCTTTTATCAAGGATGCTGCAAGAAAGCATAGGAGACACATAAAGACACATGGAGCCCCAGAGAGGCCTCACTTGATGATAGTGGATGACACACTCTTACCTGTGCAGTTGGCTAAGAACACATCGACACCCCTGCTCTTGCAATCTAGGTAAAGCTGAAAGAAGTAAAAGAGCACACTCTCGGTTAGTTCAGAAACTTAGTTTTCAGTGGGAAAATAGGATAATTCCTAGGGAAAGAAGTGATAAAAACAATGTTTCTGAAGTCAAACCACAAGAGGGAGGCATTGTTACAGTTAAGACATGCCAGCAAGCTCTAAAAGATTCATACAGTGAGATATTATTCTACAGAGACTAAATTTAGCTGCTCATATTACCATTTCTTCAGAAAAATAATGAAAAGTTTTTTCTTCCCTCTAAGAATAAGATTGCTCTCAACATCTTTTATTGAAAGTCAAGGACCCAATCTGTGGAAGTGATGAAGGCTGCTGGCCTGCTAACTCTAATACTTTGCAATGCTTTAGGAATATTTCATTGACTCAGTAAATCCCAGCTATTAAACAGCATTATAACCTGAGCCAATTTTTCCAGTTTTAAAAGTCCATCATGGTGAGATTCTAACTAATGCTTGGATGCACTGGGACCTTGACCCTTACCTCTTAGACAACTCAACCAGAAATGAACGATTGATCTTAAATTCAGCAAAAGCAAATAAGACCATAAATTTTACCTAAGATGCATGTAAAGGTTCATTTACAGTTGGATGGAACTGGTTATGTGATGGAGATGCATCTTATATACAAGACACAGACAGCTACATTTACAGTACAATCTAGAATGTATTGGAACCATGCACATTATAGATACATAATTTCTCTCATCCTTCTCCATCAGTAAGCCATTTTTTCAAAATGAGAATTGTAGATTGATCAGAGTTGTACCATTTTGAGTATAAATGAAAAACACAAATTATGAAACATGGTCTCTGGCTTTGACATTGAATGAGTGTCTCTGCTTCTGTAAGTTAATATGAGTACTTCAAGGTGACCTCTCACTGTTTGACTTTCTCTAAAGCCCAATGGAGCACAAACACTTTGCGATTATGGGTGACTTGTTGATGTTGATAAATACAATCTCCAATTCACCAACCTCCACCCCCACACCTGTCCCCAGTGAAAGACTAAATAGAAGTCACCCAGTTCCTTTCAATCCACAACTCCAGGATCAATGCTTTTCATATTGAATTAATTAAATCTAGAGGGTTGCTACAATTCAGAGAAGCTGGCATGGTGGAGGGGCACTGATGCTCTCAGCTCTAGACTCTGTCCCAAAGTAGCTGGAATTAAAAAATAATCTTGCCTGCAAATATATTATTTTCACTTTAAGAAATGGTTTTAAAACTTTATGTGTGTGTGCATATATATATTAGCTACTGTTGTGTGTGTATGTATAATATATGCTACTACTGTGTGTGTGTTTGTGTAATCCATGAGCACACGGCAGCACATGATGCATTTTTTTAAAAAAATGGAGTCAGTTCATTCTTTTCATGTTTATGTAGGTTCTGGGGATCAACTCAACATGCCAGGCTTACTTAGAAAACACCTTTACCCACCGAGGCATCTCACCAGTGCAAGAAACGACTTTTTAAAATGAGACAAGCAATACTAAGTGTTGCCATTACTGAGTGCTTATTAACTATGCTGGCCATGCCAATACTTAATGAGTATTTCCTGTGTCATATGTTATCTCTGAGCTTACAATGTGACAAAGTAGAGATCTATACTTCTAGTATATAGAAAAGCAAACAAATGGGGCCCAGGGAAATGGCTCAGTAGGTACAGAACTTCTCACAGATGCATAAGGACCTGGGTTTGAACTTTCAGAACACACAGAAAAGCTGGATGCAGTAGGTAGGACAGTCCCACTGCTACTGGGGTGAGATGGGAGGCAAAGACAGAAAAAGTAACTCACGCATCAGCTACCCAGCACATGACGAAGAGATGCTGTTTCAAACAAGGTTGAAAAAAGGACTGAAACCTGAGGCTGTCCTTTGACATACACATATGTCATTCATATGTCCACACTCACACATATGACCACACACATGTAGGGAGGTAGAAGGAATAGAAATAGACTTTATCTCCAAGCACAGAACTAGCATTTGGCTGATACGTGAATCCAGAGGATTCTGTCCTTAAAGGCTTTCTGTCCTTAAAGCCTACATTCTTAACACACATTATAATGTAGCCATGATACAATAAAAAATAGTAATATGGATGAAAAAATGAAAACAGGTACAAAACTTCTAGTTTTGTATACACAATGAAAAATACCTTGTCAAGTGCAAGTATAATTTTCCTGCCAATTTAAAAAGAAATTTTGTCACTTGTCTTAATTCAACATATAGAATTTTTAATTCATTGCCATGATTAAGGGAAAACAAAGCAAATCCCTTCATTCATTAGCAGGCCCAATGCCTGGATTGCTTGATTCATTTTTACTGTCAGCCTTCAACCCTAAGCTCAAGGGCAGTGGATCTCTTGTCTTCTTCACCAACTCTAAGGAGTTTTTTCAAACATCTGGAGAGGGTAACTAATCATTTCAGACACAAATTTAAATAAACTTCAATAATAGCAGCAAATCCACACGCAGGCCTATCCCAGTGGAGGATACTGGCTCTTTCCCAGCACCGTCCCTGGCCACCTGCAGCAGTCTCCTATGACTGTTTAAAGCCTGGCCTCAGAAATTGAATTTTAGGTGCACTTAGGAACTTCAGCACATTTTCCTGGACTCATCTCAAATAATACAGAAAAAAGAAAAACACCAGCCATAAAGGCCATCCAGTGAAGAGAGGCTAGGTACCGAAACCCTGATTTGCACCATGTATTTGCTTTCTAAATACTTCTAATTCTCAAAACAAAATCATCTCCCCATTTCCACAAAGGAATTGACTGAGATTTTAACCAATTGGATGATTCTCTAGCACATAGCTGGAGTTTGACAGATCGAGCAGGATAGCCAGAATTTCCAGATAAGCAGTTTCCCTCAAAACACTGGCACTGGCATCCTACTGGACAAGAGATTCTCAATTTGACCTTTCATTGTCTGGAATGTGAAAGGTGGGAAATTTCAAAGTAAAATATAAATGCAGAGATACAAAATATATAGGATCTCAGTCAAAATTCACAATGTAAAACTGTACCACACTGATTAATCTGAACTCAATCGATCAATTTTTCTGTTCATTTATTTATATATTTATTCAGGAGATTGAACCCAAGGCTTCTATTACTAGTCACCACTCTGTCACTGAACTAGAGCCCCAGAGCTAACACAACAACAACAACAAAAACAAAAACCAAGGATCAGGTAGAGAGAGAAAAAAGAGGGTATCTCTGTGTGGTTCAAGCTTCCATTACCAAGCATTTCTCAGCCGTAGTATGAGTAGAGGGAGTAGACAGAGCAGTTTCACTGAGTGGAGCAGGCAGAAGTAGAGTTCAGGGAGGATTAGCTGGGAGATAGAGCCAGTATCCTGAGGGGGATTTTCTCTCCATTCTAGAAACATTGAAAACTCACTTCCTGGCAGATATGACTCCCCCTACCACTCAAATCTCAGTCTCCTCACTCCTCCAACTTGGAACCCCTACTCTATATAGTCTACAATCCAGATGGGTCTTCTGAAACAAACCTACTATAGTATAAGGCACACTGTTCTATGTGTTTAGGGGTTTAGATTCTGTAGCTGAGACTCCTGCTACTGAAAAGGAGGGAAGAAATCAGACCTGACCCAGGCTGTGTAGATACCTCAACAAGTGTAGAGACTCCTGTGTAGTCGAAAAAGGTCAAGCCATTGCAATCCAGGACCAAAGAACACTTATCACAGGGGCAGCGTTGGGAAGCTTCCTCTGTAGGAGACACAGAAACTCTAGTTAGAATTTGCAGGTTTTTGCTGCCAACTTGGTTGAACAGTTGCAAAGCAACAGTGGCCTCATGGCTAATGGTAATTCTGAACATTTTCATTCTTATAAATTTCAGTTCATTACCCATTATTTCTGAGCTCTGTTTCTTGCTTGTTGTTAATGTTGTTTTTAATGTTGTTTTTATTAGACTGATGGGAGAAATTTAAATGAGTCTGAAAGGATATCTAGCAAGTTAGCTCTAGGCATAGTGCAGACATTCTGAATGGTACACTATCAAATCAGCTGCTTCTTTTGAGAGTAGGTCCAGAGTAAGAGCCCTGTTTGTGATGTCTGAAGATCATGCATGTCAGTTTATTTGTTAAAGCAAAGGTCAAAAGCTTGGGAATATTCCATAGTTTTAGAGGTGATCTGTGCTAATATTAATTTTCAGTTAATTCACAGTAAATCTGCATGAACAGGGTCCCAAGTTCAACCCAGCCCTATAAAAACCAACCGCAACCAACTAAACAGTGTGATCCTGTTATGTAGAAATGAAAACAGGTGACCAGAAAATATGAAGCATACTGAAAATTGTTACATGAGAATCATCATCAGGAAAACACTACAAAGTGCCTCCTGGTATATTTGAAAAGTCTTGTCCACATAAAGGATTTGTTTCTAACTTACAGTTTCAGGTCATTTTAACTAACTGACTAAACTAACTACAGGGAACATAATATGTCTGAGAAATCTTCAAATATGCAGTGGATGATAACAAGTATGAGCCAGAGTCTATTCTTTTCTTCAAGGAGCTAATAATTTGGACAGAACTGACATAGACACTGTCTAAGATTAAGTTTAAAAAAGTAAGAAACAATGGGAACTTATAAAATGGGGGAAATCTCTTTGATGTGATCAAGGAATGCTTCCTTCACTTTCAGCCTTGACAGAAATGCCTGTGTGGCCACAGGAGGCATTCAAACACATGAGTGCCCATGGTCCCCTACTCCTCCAGCTCCTGTGTCTACTGTATACCTGGCACTGCAGTCCTGCCTTCTGTTTCCCTGTTCTCCCAGAAAAAGAATGCAAAGCATTCTTGGAGTCTTCCACTGTCCTTCCATTGCCCAAGACATTCATCAGCACCTCAAACAAGGTAGAAAGCGGCTATAACTTAGGTCCTCCCAAATAGGAGTCTTTTGTCATTCACCATGTGTAACACCACAAGACATCGCTCCATAGCACAGGGATTCTTGTTTATTCCCTCCCATAAATTGTGCCCCTGGTTTGGAGATGGGAAAGAATTGGAATGCAGGGACAATTAAAATGTTCATTCTAGGTAAAGAAGATACGTTCTACTTTACAGTGGAATGCTGATTTGGTCATAAATACATTTTTATACAATGTAGAAACATTTTATACTCTCAAAACAATTAAGTCTCGGGTAATTAAAAACAAATCTGTGTGTGGCACACATATGGGATATATATATATGTACATATATAAATATGTATGTATAATATATACATATATAAAGACTAGATCTTTCTTATTAAGTTAGATACTAGACATTTAGTAAGACTAGTTATGTTCATAGTATACACTAGGATTCTGTATTTGAGACTTTCCTATGAAAATCATTTTAAACATATTGGTTTTAGAAAATAAAACATTATGTGTCTTGTTTACAGTAGCAGTGTGTTAGAACAACTCATACCACTTGGGTATGTGTCTTCCCAGTCCCACTCTTGCTGATCAGACACAGTAGAATATTTACATTACACACATAGGCAAGTGCTATGACTCTAAGCATATTCCCTGCTCCAAAAAGTGTTAAAAAAATTACCAGGACAACCACTAACTACTTAAAGATCAGTGCTTTCATTACCCAATAGCCTTGATTAAGTGAATGATTAAGTGACTAATCCATGCAAATATTTGGGGTTAGGGCTTAAAATGGCAATGATGACAAAATTGGTGTGAAAATTGGAGTGAGGTCTTGTGGTTTCTCTAATGATGCAAGACAAAAGACACTTTATCCTTGTGCTCAGTATTGTTCTGATCAAATGACATTAAAAAACATGTATTTCAAATTAAGTGACACTGTATAATTTTGCTAAAAAAAGTCTTCAAAAAATTCAATATTTAACTATAAAATAGAAAACTACTGAATTTTAAGTTTTCTGTTATCTCAATGTCTTCTTTTCTTATTCTCTTTTTCTTTGCTTTTTTGAGATTATAATACAATTGCATTTTTTCCTTCTTCCATTTTCTTCCTACAAACATCTTCCTCTGGGAAGATGTTGTTTCCATGGTGCAGCAGCACACCAGGTTCTCAACATTGTCACTTAATTTGAAATATATGTTTTTATGTAAGTTATTTCAAAGAAATCAACCAATAGCACACCTTTTGAACAAAAATAAAATCCTAATGGTGACACTTCTGATTCACGAGCTGAAAACTTAAATACAATGGACATTTCTGAAATCTTTCAAAATTAATAAATCATTTCATTTGCCCATATCTCCTTGGCCTTGTCGTTGCAATAAATTAAAGATATACCCTTGTTTTCCATCTTCTAAGAAAATCAAGTAACACAATAGGAATTGCATCATCTGAGATAAGAGTGAAGAGAATGCACGCTAATAGCTATAAGCAACTGAGGTAAGCTTGGAGCATTGCAAAGGAGAGACTAATCTATCTCCTCAGGGCAGGTGGTAAATGATGGACTTCATCATCAACAACAACAAAAGAAAAAAGAAAAAAAACAGAGAAGACATTAACCATCAGGTGTGTGGGGGCAATTAAACCCAGGCAATTAAAGACAGCTCTTTCCTGTGGAATATTTAATTAAAAAATGTCATAGTTGCATAATTTAGGAGTGTTTTCCATTTATTTCAAAAGATTCTGATACTCAGTGAGTCACTCGTAATTTTTAAAAGTATCTTCTATTGGCATCAATTAACTATTGAGAAACAGAATTCTCTAATTTCTAAGGGATTAAGAGAACAAGAGATATTTAGAACAAACAATACTCTCTTTGGAAAAAGGTGTGATTATTACTGAACATTTCATTCACAGGTCTGTTCTCTCATTAATCCCAGCAGACAATTAATACAGATGCAGTGTGAATTTAAGCACCCTGTTAGGAGATGTAAATGCAGTGGTGAACAGAGTGATGATGGTGCCTGTCTTCAATACACTGGCAGTCAAATGGAGAATAGTCAGTCCAGCTTATAACTTATGAAAGCTGGAGTAGATGCACAGAAAGTGCAAAGGAAGAACCAGAAACAACTGACAATGTCCCCCACACACACACACACAAACACCTCCAAAGTCTACCTCCTCATCCTCAGGATCTGTGAATATGCCACCTTACAGGGCAACAAGAACTTTGCAGATTTGACTGAATTCTCCATGTTAGCATGGGGAGGTTATCCTAGACCATCCAAGTGTAAGGAAATTCAGAGTCAGAGATGATGAAGAAGGGATCAGAGTGACCTGAAGATGCCTCTACTGACTTGAAAATTAATGGCAGCATGAACCAAGGAATGCAGATGGACCAAGTTGGAAAGGGGCAGGGGGTTTTCCCATTGAACCAAAAAAAGAAGTATATCCCAGCCATAACTGCAATGCTACGCTCATGAGACTCACTCTGAAACTTGTCACTGCACTGTAATGTAATAAATGAGTGCTGCTTTAAGCCACTGAGCTTAGGATAATTACTATAACAGTGCTGGAGGTTTATATACCTGAGTTTTTTATTTGGAGGTTAAGAGTAGGGGAAGGGTGTAAGGAAGGTGGAAGTTTGTTTCAACTTTGGGCTCCATGACAGCAGAAGCCACCTCTACTTTCTTAATCACTGAATATGCAGTACCACTTACCATCCCTAAGTTAAGTAATCTTAAAAGAATACATGAAATATTGAGCTGAATCCTGGAACCCAGTTGCAGAGAGGGAGGAGTGATGAGCAAAGGGGTCAAGACCAGGCTGGAGAAACCCACAGCAACAGCTGACCTGGGCTTGCTCATGGACCCCAGACTGATAGCTGGGAAACCAGCATAGGACGGTTCCAGACCCTCTGAACATGGGTGTCAGTTTGGAGGTCTAGTTAATCTATGGGACCACTTGTTGTGGATTTAGTATTTAGTACATGAACGGACTTTGGGAGCCCGCTCCACAAAGAGGGATACTCTCTCAGCCTAGACACACTGGGGAGGGTCTAAGCCCTATGCCAAATGATATGACAGACTTTGAAGATCCTCCATAGAAGGCTTCACCCTCCTTAGGGAGCAGAAAGGGAATGGAATAGGGGGTGGGGTGAGCAGGGAAGGAGGGGAGGGAGAGGGAACTGGGATTGACATGTAAATGAAACTTGTTTCTAATTTAAATAAAAAAGGAAAAAAGAGAAATATTTGCCAGTGACAACATGGAAACTGCATGAATGTAAAGAAGCCAGAGTTATATGAGGGAACCTGGAGGTTTCCTTAAGGGGAACAGATGGTAGAAGACCACACACACACACACACACACACACACACACACACACAGGCAAGTTCACCATGGCAAAAGATTCTACTGGACTCCTGTAAGCAATATCATCAGATGCCCTAAACATACTTCTGGAAGATCTCTTCACAAGTTAACAATTATAGTTTTCATTCAGAAAAAAATGCTATGGCTTCCATCTTCTCATCTATGTAAACAGTTTTACAAGTTTGTTTAATCTATTGTTTGTCAACTCTACATCTGAAAAGGTTGTTAGAGAAAGGGGGTTTTTGACTGTTTTCTCGTTTACCCAGTGCTTTTCTTACTCTATGTCTCCCCTTGATTGAGTCTCTTTGGGTCCTATTCTTTATCGCTTAACCCAGCTGAATATCTCCTAGGTGACTGAACATCACATTTAACTTACCAGTAAATTAAATACAGCTTCCCTTATAGACACACCTGGATTCTGTTGTTCCCTGTTTGAAAGTTTTCAGCTTAGTGTCATCATTTGTCTCGAAACAGGAAAAAAAAAAAAAAGCTATCTGAGAGGCATGCTGATTCACTTTGAAAGAAATTAAGAATGGGGGCATCACAGGGGTGATGCCCTAAGGTAGTGAGCCCAAGAAGACGTTTAGTGATGGAATTGGGAACAAGACCACAGGAAGTCTTGGAAAGGTGGGGGCAGAGTGGTGTGACTGAATGAGGGGGCAGGGAGGATGAGGAAGGCAGGAGGAAAAACAAGCTACTGATGACTAAGGATAAATTGGAGTGCCCAAAGAAGTAAAAAAATGAAGATGGTGAGTGAATAGAGTAGTTTTCTCTCAGTACCATATATTTTAATATGCATTTCCTTATAATTTACCTCTTTCTCCATTTCCGACTATGATTTCCTCTTAAGATAATATATAAATACAAGAAGTATTTACTAATTTCCAAATACAATGAGATTCTGTGGTTATTTTCTTGTTCTAAACTTACTTCCATTAAAACTTACAGTTTAGGAGCTGAAGAGATGTAAGGTGTCTTAGTAGTTAAGAGCCTATACCATTCCTAAGACAGGGCCTGAGCCTGGTTCCTAGAAGTCTAGAAGTCCACATCTAGGGAGTCAATGTTATCCTCTGGCCCATTGCAGGCACCTGTATTCATGTGCACATGCCCCACCATCAACCTTCCCTACACATACACATAATTAAAAATAAAATGAGTAAATCTTTTCAAAATGATTTACATATAAATTTCATATGGGCCCATAAATCTGCATGCATAATTTCCATTATCTGAAACATGCTGAAACTTGTATTACAGTTCCAGTTTATGGACACAGAGAAAAAGCCAGAGTCAGACCTCTTATCATGCTTATGAATCATGCTCACATTCACTGCAACAGATTTTTTAAATTTTCTTCCTTTTGTTCTTTTTTCTTTCTCACCAACTAATGATATTGAAATCATATAATGTACAATTCCATACCAACCTGTTGGGAATTTAGTCCTCTGGTTAGAAATGATTTGAATTTTATTAATTCTGTCTTTTATCACCTAGCTGTTGTGGGTACTGCTCTGTGGTGTCACTCATACTGCAGGGTCATACATCAGTACGGTCCTGCTCAGACTGCACAGTTGTGCATGGCTGCCTCCTATGTCTCTCAGTTTCTGTATATTGAAAGAAAGTCAACTCAACTCCTGCTCTTACGGGAGGATAAATTTCTAGAGAATAAACATTGACCTGGACAATTTATCAAGGACACATCATTAAAACATTGTTGCTGTTGCCTAACATTTATCCTAGGAAAGCATGATCCTGTAATTGATTTACTTGTGTGAAGTAGAAATCTAAAATGTATGTGAGATTAAAAGGTTGATCTATATTAAGACTATATAGAGATGTTCAATTTATGGAGAAAGAAATGAGACAGATGGAGGCAAGAAGAGGGGAAGGGAAAGAAGCGGGAGGTAAAAAGAGATGGAAGAAAGGGAAGGAGACGGAAGTGTGAGGAAAGAGGCCGAGGGATGGAAAGGAGGACAAGGGAAAATAAGAGGGAATAGGAAGGGAGAATGAGGAGGGGAAAGTAAAGGGGGGAAAGGAGGAGATTCTAGCTGAAGAACAAGATGCCTACAGGGAGCGGGAGGCCAACAGAGAGGGAAAGGAGAAGGGGATTTTTATTGTCTGTATGAATTCACGTCAAGGCATTAAGACTACCTTTTCCTGAAAACGAACTCACCATTGCAGTTGCCATTCGACAGGGGACTGAGCAAGGTGTTCTGTTCACACTGAAATAAAAATAAATGAAAAGAATAAAAATGTTGTGAAGCAATAGAGCTATGCATTCCTTTCTTATCTGAATGAGCTAATTGTAAGTGGCAACAATTATCTCATTCAGATGTATATTTCTCTAGGCTTGTTTCTGATGCTGTGTTCCGTGAGGTAGGAAATGAAGAAACAATTATGGGCTGGAAGGAAGTATACGTAAGTTCAGTAAGTAGTTTGCTCACTGAGTCAGATGTCAGAACATTTTTTGAAAGACTAAATTTGCTTTGATCTGAGGTCAGAAATCCTTTCACACACATTAGCCCCATGAAAATGCCTGAGAAGCACTTATTGTTCTGTATCATAGTTCAGCTTCTCCAACAGTGATTTCTTAGCGATCTCTCTCTCTCTCTCTCTCTCTCTCTCTCTCTCTCTCTCCTTTTTAAAAAAAGTAATAACATATTAGCAAACACCTTCCGAGATCTTTATAACAAAAAAGCATAATACTAAGTATCAACACATTTCCATTTAATTCTCTTCATTACCCACTGAATTAGATATCATCACTCTTCCCCCCTTTATTATTATTTTTTAAAATTAGTAATGAGCTTGCTTCACATGTCTATCTCCGCTCACTCTCCCTCTCCTCCTCCCCTACCCCCAGAAAGCCCCCCAAGCTCCTCATTCCCCCTCTGCTCCCCAGGGAGGGTGAGGCCCTCCATGGGAGAATCTCCAAAGTCTGTCATATTATCCCAGGCAGGGTCTAGGCCATAAATTTACAAATGAATGGTACTCCTAACCGAAGGAAGGAGACAAAAAGCATTGTTGGGAATATAGGTTCTCTTCAGAAGGCCCTGGGTTACACTGCATAGCAGGGGTTTAGGTGAAAGATAATAAATTAGGCAAATGTCTTATGGGTTAATCAGATTATTTAAAAACATGTCTCTTTTTTTCTTAATACTACTTTGTATGGTGACTGTGGGCTTGCTCCAGTCCACAAAAGCTATTACAACTGTGCACTGCCATACAGTATTATGGTTCTGTGTAAGAAACAGGCCTACTATAAACATGAGCAACTAGATAAAGGAGCAGTTCCCAAGCTAAAGACACTAGCCATAATCCTCAATATTCCCTTGAAAGTGAACCCTAAAAGCACAAAGGCAGGACACATATCATGCATTTACAATCTTTAGTGTCCCAAAGGCTCTCTTGTGTAAAGGGTCATTTATACACGGATGCCATCATCTTGCAAGTGTTAATAATTACAGAGAAAAGAACATCGTGCCTTCATTTTCAACTGTGACTATGAAAATCATGTGTCTGGTCATGTATGTGAGGTGGGGGTTAAAGGTCATTGGCAAATCAGGATGAGAACTATGGACAAAAGCATGAAGCTGTGGACAAATGGACACCCTTCTGTGCAGCTCTTGAGAGCAGAAAAAAAGAGGCCTTAGACCTCCCATGTACTTGAGTGACTAAGAGATACATACTCAAGCATGAAGAAAAGATATCTGGAGAGTTAAAGAATGCCTCAGGAGAAAGACAGTCAACCAAACCGATGGTTTGGTTGGGCAGTCCAAGCACTAGTCTGAGTAGTTTTACATATTTACCTCTTTGAATCATCTTCTGAAATGATCATAATCATTTTCTGAGAAACGGGTCTATAAACACATCTGTGCCCCATTGCTGTTTATCATGAGGACCCTGAAACACAAGCTCATCTAAATTCCCACAGCTGGTGGGTGACAAACACAGGCAGCTTGGTTCTGGAGCTCAAGCTGTGGACATTTTGAAGGACTTGGGACTTGAGGATCTGAGGGAAAACTACACATTCACACTGACTCACTCTGGTGCACATTTGACTCAAGATCTGTTCACTGAGATTTCTTACAGAAACAAAGAAAGCTGAGTGGTAGTGGGGTGACAGCACACATCTATCATCCAAGCACTCAGGAGAATGGGACAGAAAGGTCATGGACTATATAGGGAGACTGTCTCAATTTTCAGAAAATAAAGGAAAGGGAAGGGAAGAAGAGAGGGACAATTTCATAATAATGTTATAATAGTGATCACAATAATTTATGCTCCTTTCAAGTTCTTTACCATACTCCATATTCTCAAGAACTATATCATCACATGTTTACCTTAGGACCATGATGAACAAATTTAAAAATATTTAATATCCTCCTATTCTTAGGCTATACAGTAATGAATAGGCAAACACACAGTATTAAGTTCTTTTTTTCTGAGAAACGGGTCTATAAACACATCTGTGCCCCATTGCTGTTTACCTGAGGACGTTTTCAGTGGTCTGTAGTATGACACACATCATTAACCTGGTATCCCTACCTTGCTGACATCATCAAGTGGGTGACTGCTGTCATTTTCCTTTAGGATTATTTTCATTAGATCAGTATTCAACTTCTTTGCATTCAGGAAAACAAGCGGGTTGTTTATTGAGATGATTTTTACCTGTTGCAAGGTTTCCTTTTAAAGGGGGGGAAAAAAGATTCAGAACTCCGAATCAAGTGAGAAAAAATCAAAACAAAAACCAAAAATTAATTATACCTCATTAGACCAAATCTTGTGGTCAACACATCATTTAATTGTGGATGCAATCTCTCTCTCTCTCCTTTCTCCTCTCTCTCTCTCTCTCTCTCTCTCTCTCTCTCTCTCTTTGTTTTTTGTATTTAATTTTCTTTTTACATCCTGAATGCAGTTTCTCCTCCCTTCTGTCCTCCAAGTGGCCCCACAACCCACCCATCCACTCTTCCTCCTCTGTTTCTCCTCAGTAAAGTGCAGGCCTCCCGTGGGTATTAACTAGCCATGATATATCAAGCATGGATGCAAACCCTGAGCTAACATTTTTGTTATTGAAATTTACTTGTAAGTCTTAATGGAATACCACATATATCAAGGAAATACAGACTTCTGTATTGAGAAACATGAGTAACAAAACAAGTTCACAGTTTTTCAGTAAGTTTAAGGCAATAGCCTAGACTGCCCATCCTCCCACAAAGTCCCCCTTTCATTCCCCCTACAAATTATAATTAACTGACTGTTGATTTCACAATGGTGTGGATCAAACCAGAGCCTCTCATATGCTAGGCAAGCTCTTTGCTACTGAGTCCACCAGCATTTTAATACAACTGAAACTGTCTCAAAGTGTCCACAATCATCCCTTTACAAAACACTGATATAAGCTCCCCTCTAGCTAAAGTATGATCTTGCAAATAATCGGCAGTCCTAATTGGAAGAAAGCCATAAAAGACGGTATCTGGAACAAAGGTTTCCTAGGCCAGTCCTGGATTACACATGCTGCCAGATTGTAGACAAATGATGAAAAAAGGCTCTGACACAAAATATTCCTACTTTGCCATTCTGCTCAGGCAGTATTGACAGGACTTGGTGCTGTTCAAACAAAATCCCCTTTTCTGTGACTTTAGGACAGGTATCTGATTGAGAAGATGGCTAGTCCTGTGCAATGATCGCTCCTTACCAACCAAGCAAGGCTTAACTCCTTCAGGCTTTAGTATTCCCATAGAGGAAGACATGCAGAGAATAGCCATGCATGCAGGCAGAAGAAATAAAGATTTAGGTACATAAATGTGGGTAATTCAGTAGCTCACTGTTCAACTGTTCTTTTAAAATAAAAGTTTAAAGTATATATTTCAGGGTTTATAAAACTGAAAACACCTTAACTCTAGAAAGTGAGGGAAATGTAACAAATAATACAAGAAATCAAAAAGAGTAAGCTGCCAATGTAACTTTTAATCCAGAGGCAACCACTGAGAAACTGAAAACAAACCATTAATGTTTAGGTTTGCCATATGTAGTCATCAGATTTGATTGTTCCAGGAGTTTTAAGATGAAAAAACCAAATATTTGTTAACAAATAAAGATTCGACTGTTACACAGAGAAACCCTGTTTCAAAACTCTAAACTAAATAAATACATAGAGATTTAAGTTGCTGCAACTAAGAAATACTCAACAGAACTGAGATCATTGAATGAGAAAAGATATCCCAAGTTAGAATGGGCAATTTGTATGAACAAGGGGTAAAAAAAAAAAAAAAGTGTGTGGAAGGGGAAGCACCATTTTAAGTAAGGTAAAATTTTCATTCAATAGTTTGTATGAATATCACGTTCAGCCTCATTCATATCTCTTTTATGGAAAATATTAGGAAATTAGTGGGATGTAACATTTTAATGAGATTGGGATTTTTATGAGCAGAAGTTATTACTTATATGCGTTACAGAAGAAACAACCCAGATTTGAGAACATGAGAAATTTCTAGCATTTGTAATCTGTTCTAAAAATCACTCATTCACCATGAGTTATACTTGGCCAAAAAAGGCAAGGATTATGCAGTTTGCTCACCAGTGATTTTTAGAATGAAAACTCGTCAACTTAAAATCATATTCTATCTCAAAGATGAAGACATCAGTGGGGGATGATGGGACTATGGGTAAAATTCCCATAGGAAAAATACAACACAAAAGAAAGGCTGACACGGTTGAAAACCTCCAAGGCTGGAAATTAAACAGCCCTCTGTGAAGCAAATCTCTTATTAAAAGAACAAACCATTCTCCTAGGGGTCACAGAAAGACTCCTGACCTTACTTCCTGTTTTCAGGCTACCTGGAAAGACCTTGACGTTGGTCCTTTCGGTAGGAGGCCAGTTCTCTGTATTCTGAGGGGAATCAAGGTAACAAAGCAAGTGAATGTGAAAATAAAGGAGAAAATGTTAACCAAACATTTATCAAACAGGTTCAAAGTAAGGCCAACTTTTAAAAATTGCCAAAAATGTTTCAAGTGAACACTTACACAGTTATTATTTCCCCCACCCCCACCCCCTTTAAACTTTTCTGGTTATTTTTTGAAACAAGAAACTAGAACTGCCCATTCCTGACTAGTGGGTGCCATACTTGGTACACAGGCAAAGACCCTTGGCTAAACTCAGTGGGCCACAACACAAAACAGAAAGATGAGAATGTGGGAAAGGGGAGTAAAGCAAGGGATGGGTTCGTGAAGTTAAGAGAGAGATAGAGGATGAGATAAAGGCAATCCTGTATGAAATTGTCAAAGAACAACTTTACCTTTTACAAGATAATAGAACTCAAATACTCATGTGGCACCCTTACACATGAGCAATGCCAGCTAGTTAATGTAAATTGCCTTTTTATGAAAGTTCTCCACTGTGCATAATTCCACACCTATTGGCATTCTAGACAGAACCTCAGACTTAATAATTCAGTATCATTGTATTTTCAAATAACACTTTAAAACTTCTTTGAGAATTTCATACATGCATAAATATGATCATATTCACCATGCCAAGAGTGACTAGGTAATTACAACAGCAGTGCTCAAATGGCTTTCCTTTTCTTTTTTTTTTTTTCTATGCCCTAATTTTCTTCATCACTTAAGGAAGAAAAATCTATCAGTTTGGCTTATTTTATACAGTTTAGTAATGGAAAAGAAGTTTTTACATGCTGAAGGTAATCTCTGCACAAGTCAACTGTGAACTCAAATTCTATGGGCCATGATGTGATTTAATTAAAAACCTAAATTCAAAGAGATTTTTCTTTTTCTCTACTGATGAATGCATGTCCACTGCCATGTGTGGTACTAACATGTATATCCAATATGTATAGAGAATGGTTGTCAACTAGCATAATTTATCTAACCTTAGGACCCTTCAGAGCTGGCTTCTCCACAAATGTTAATACTTACACAAAGAGACAAGGAAATTAGACTTACATCATTCATTTCTGTCTTCACCTTAAATTCCAGTTCTTTCATGTTTGTTATGCTTAAAGTCTTTGCCCTAAATTCAAGGCAGATGAAAATTACGAGTCATTTCCTGATCATTATATTAACAGAGAAGAATCAAAAGCAGCAGGTTGTTTTATCTTAAAATAGAACATTATGTGGATTATACTCTATGGCTATTTGTCTAGAAAATATTCGTAAATCTATATTTTGTGAGGACATTCTGTAGTAGAAAATAACAACAGAGGTATCTAACTAGAAATTAATAAATAGGATTTATTTCATTTAATTCTCCAGAATCCAACTGCTCCATGCTGTAAGAATTACACTGATAAAAAAATTATAAAATGAAAAAGGCAAAAGACTATATGGTGTCTGATAAAATCTTGTTAGAAGAGTGGAAGGAGGCCATTTCACATAGAGGGATACTCCCTCAGCCTAGACACACAGGGAAGGTCCTAGGCCCTATCCCAAAGGATATGATAGACTCTGAAGACCCCTTATGGAAGGCCTTGCCCTCCCTGGGGAGCAGAAATGGGATGGGATAGGTAGGGTGTTAGTGAGGGGCAGGGGAGGAGGGAAGGGAGAGGGAACTAGGATTGACATGTAAAACAATCTTGTTTCTAATTTAAATTTAAAAAATGGAGAAAAAAAAGTCAAGTTAATAATCTGTATTTCAGGTTCTAGACAGGTGAAAATATATTTTATATTATATTTTTTTACTTTTTAAAGTTATAGGCTCAGATTATTTCATAGATAATCCCAGAGGACCCATTAGAATGAAGTATGACAATTAGCGCATGAAGTCTGGGGATGCAAGAAAGGAATTGTTCAAAATAGTTAATGAGTTGACTATGTTCAGTTAAAACCCAAAGCAAAATAAAGCATTCAGCATCAGATGACATGGCTTCTCAAAAGTAAAAATAGTCATTTAATTTACCAAATGATGACTACTGGCACATGATTATGTCTTACTGAATAATATATCCTTTATTTTGTTTTTAAAATGCTATGATAAAGCATATGATCATCAGATTTATTGATTTAAATAGATGTTATGAAATCTGTTATAGCTTGGATTTTAAATGGCCCTCAAATGCCCATGTGTTTTAGGCCTAGTTGCCAGTTTATACTGCTAGTTTGGAAGACAATAGAGCCTTTTAGAATTGAGGGATAATAGAAAGGAACTAGGTCACTGGAAGTGTGCCCTTAAAGGTAATATTAGCCCATAATACCTTTGTCTCTTGTCTTTTGGGCACTTAGGAACAAGCAGACTTATTCTACTATGCACTTATATGAATGCACTGAGCCACTGAAGGCCCAAGGCAACCTCCAAAATCATAGGCAGAAATAAAGTTGTCCTTTAAGTTGGTTTATTTCAGGATCTGTTTTGATATTGATGGTTCTTTTTATTATGGGCAATATTAGTATATATCATAAGTAAGTAAAATATTTTGCTATTTCTTTTTGTTTGCCCACTAAAAGAAAGAGAATATGGAATGACAGAACAATATATATTTTGTGTAAAAATAAAAGCAACTATAACATATTTTGTTTTGCTATAGAGTAAAAAGAAACAGAGTATTTAAATAAAGCCTTACCTTGGGAAACGTCCTATCACGATGGCTATGGTGCAGACAACACCGAACAACAATCCCACATTGGCAGCAAAGCATATTGTAAATATGTAAGTACTGATCCATATGCCCTAAAGAGACATAGAAAAAAGAAGAGGTGACTACTCTTTCTTATTTTTCTCAGAACTGCAAATCCCTCACAAATGTATTCAACAGCACTCCACTGAACAAATCTCTAAAAGTTTGCTTGCTTATTTATTCTCTCTCCCTCCCCCACGTGTGTGTGTGTGTGTGTGTGTGTGTGTGTATGTATGTGTATGTGTGTAAATGGGGGGTGCAAAGGTAAGCGGACCATGATGTGAGTTGACTATGGAAGGCCAGATGAAAGCTTACTAGAGTTGGAACTCTCCATGTAGGTTTCAGGAATTAAACTCAGTTCAGCAGGTTTAGCAGTAAGTACCTTTACCTACTAAGCCATCTCAACATCACAAGAACATATTATTTAACGTGAATAGAAATGCAGAAATACAGAACCATCCCATGTCTCCATCATACTCTCAGCAGTAGAAGAGGAAAGGCACTTTGTTTAACCTGTAGGATTGCCAACTCTTAGTTCAAGCCCCAAATACTATTTATCAGGTCTGTAACTAGTTGGTTGATCATATGTGCACAGATATACATTGTAATTTCCTACTATTCTTATTAAGTATAATGGTATTGCAAGCAATGATTTGCAGGGCTTTTTTGTCATTCTCAACACTATTCTATTTTCTATGATTACTGTACAAAAAATCTGATATAGTTTGTTACTATATATGAGGTTTTCAAAGTCTAGTTTTAAACTAACATTGTCAATGATTTTAGACCAACTACTAGAAAGATCATTATTTATAAAGGGCCACTTCCTACAAAGATAATTTCAGGGCTGACTTGTCTCAGAAGGGCTAGAGAGACCATGAGAGCCATGGCAGTGGATGACCACAGCAAAGTTGTTTTCTGGGCACAACAAAGCAATTGCATCTACTAACTCACCTCAGTTTTAACAGTACGCACAAGACGTGTACAAGCATAATGTAGACAAACAACTGTTCATGAAGGGGAGAGATAAGCATAAAACCCCACCCACAACTGAGGAACTTTTGGTAATTGATAGCTCCTAGGAGAGGGAAAATCTGTTTTCTTTTAAGGCTGTGGTTAAGTAGGTTAACCACACTCCAGGGAGTAGCCCGACTCTTACAACAACTAGGCAGCACAAATTAAACTCTATAAGCTTACAGAAAGATATAGTGATATATTATTTATGATTTATTAAAGCTTCCATGAAGATTCAGAAAGCAAAGTCAGCCACATGCCTTAAATCCCATCAGCTAGAAGCAAGAAGGTGGGGGTACACACCTAGTTCTCAGGATTAAGAGGTAGATGGCTCTCTGTGATCACAAGGCCACCTAGATCTAGACAAGATTGATCCAGTCATAAAGAGAAACAGCTCACACAAAGATGAACTCAGCACCTGGGTTCACAGGCCTTTAATTCCAGCATTAGGGAGGTATGTATATAAGATAGGAGCAACGTTTCATTATCAGGCATTCTTTCTCCAAAGACATTGAGGATAGGAAGACATTCAGTCTCAAGATTCTCTAGCCACACAGAGGAGAGGCAGCAAAATCAGACCATTCAGTCTGAGTGGTAAGAGCTAGTGGTCCACTACTTTGCCTTTCCATTCTTCAGCTTGAAGTTTTAACCGCTATATCTTTCTCTGGGTCTCTTTTTTTTTTTTTTCATGTTAGAAGACACATGAAGTTGGGTGAATAGAGGGTGGGGGTACCACTCTGTGGTTCCTTTCTATTTTATCTAACAACCTCCTGCTCCAGTGCCTGTGTCTGTAATTAACATTGTAAACTTCTTTCTGTGCCACTCTAAGACAGATTTGTCTATTGGGTTTATATCACACACTAAATACATTTGCACTATAATTCTTCCTGTTAAAATATACTCAAACCATAAAATAAATTGAATCTATAAAAGTAAAAACATCTGAAATGAGAAATAAATGTGTTTATAAACACCTAACTAGGAATGTGGGCTCTGCTCGGACCCCAAGTCCCCCCATCCTCCTCCTGCTTGGATCTTCGAAGCTACTCCTGGAGTGGGCTGGCCCCGCCCTGACAGGAAGGACCACACTGAGTCTGGCCATACCTCAATCTTGGCCCCCCTCCACACTCCACCCTCCTCCCTCTGCCCTCTGCCTTCCACCCTCAGCCCTCCACTTGAGTCTTGGCACTCCTATGTCCTCTGCTTGAGTGAGGAGAATACCAGCAGAGGCCAGACCTTTCAGAGTTGCAGACACTGAAGTCTTGGCCCACACGCGGCACTGGAAGACTAGAGGAGAGACTAGTCTAGACTAGTCTAGACTAGACTGCACCCACTTGAAGAAGGAATGGGAAGAAGACAGTGTAAGAACACACTCAACAACAGAAAGACCAATACGACACTACCAGAATCTAGGGACTCTACACCAACAAGACCTGAAAATCCCAATGTAGATTAAGCACAAGAGAAGGACCTTAAAAACTATCTTATGAAGATGACAGACACCCTTAAAGATGAAATAAGAAAATGCCTTAAAGAAATAGAAGAAAAAACAAAAATACATGAAATGGAGGAAAAGACAAACCAAAAAATTCAAGAAATAAACAAATCTCTTAAAGAATCCAAAGAAACCCAAGAAAAAACACAACCAAACAAGTGAAGGAAACAATTCAAACAGTTCAAGGCTTGAAAGCTGAAATAGAAACAATAAAGAAAACACAGAATGAGGGAATTCTGGAAATAGAAAAGTTGGGTAAATGGTCGGGAACTACAGATATAAGTATAACCAATAGAATACAAGAGATGGAAGGGAGAATCTCAGGTGTTGAAGACTCACTAGATGATATACAGTCATCCATCGACCAAAGAAAATCTCAAGTCCAACAAATCTCTAACACAAAATATTCAAGAAATATAGGACACTGTGAAAAGGCCAAATATAAGAATAATAGGTATAGAAGAAGGTGAAGAAATTCAGCTCAAAGGTTCATAAAACATATTCAACAAAATCATAGAAGAAAAGTTCACCAACCTACAGAAGGACATGCCTATGAAAGTAAAAGCAGCTTACAGAACACCAAAAAGAAGTCCCCTTGCTGCATAATAATCAAAACACCAAACTTACAGAATAAAGAAAAAATATTAGGAGCAGCAAAAGAAAAAGGCCAAGTAACATATAAAGGCAGACCTATCTAAATTACACCCAACTTCTCAATGGAAACTTTGAAAGCCAGAGGTTCTGGATAGATGCTCTACAAACTCTAAGGGAAGATGGATGCCAGCCCAGACTACTATGCCAAGTAAAGCTTTCAATCACTATAGATGGAGAAAACAAGATATTCCATGACAAAACCAGATTTAAATAACACATATCGACAAATCCAGCCCTACAGAAAGTACTGGAAGGAAAACTCCAACACAATGAAGATAACTACATTCATAAAAACATAGGTAATAGATAATCCAACTTTACCTAACACCAAAAGAAAAAAAGGCAGGGAAAACCACACACAGTAACACCACCACCAACAAAGCCAATACAAACAAGAATCAACAATCAATGGTCACTAATATCCCTCAATGTCAATGGTCTTAGCTTGCCTATAAAAAGACACAGGCTAACAGAATGGATACAAAGACAGAATCCATCCTTCAGCTGCATACAAGAAACACATCTCAACATCAAACACAGATGTTAACTCAGAGTAATGGATTGGGAAAACATTTTCCAAGAAAATGAACACAAGAAACAAGCAGGCATAGCAATCCTAATATCTAACGAATTATACTTGAAACTAAAATCAATCAAAAGCGATGACGGTGGTCACTTCCTACTCATCACAGGAGAAATCCATCAAGATGAAGTCTCAATTCTAAACATCTATGCCCCAGTAT